CACTACTGATGGCAATTGTAATACACATTAACATTACTGATAAATCTATGAATAGTTTGCATAGTATTCACAGTATAGTAAGCGGTGGGGAGTGAAAAACACAGAGACACAGACCACCCATTAAAACAATTTAATACTTGAGAAAATGTAATTTCAATACAAACAGATAAACTGTTGTAAAACTAAGGACATAGTCTCTCTCTCTCTCTCTCTCTCTCTCTCTCTCTCTCTCTCTCTCTCTCTCTCTTATCAATTATATGTGAAACCATGTGAAGTGAAAACTGTGTTTTACTAGTTCATGAAGAAAGTCATTGCAAGTTTTTACTCATTAAAAGACCTACCAGTCCTGTAACACTCAGTCATCTAATTTTGAGATTAGGGTTCACAATATGATAACCATAATACCGATCCTTTACTATGGATTCTATTAATGGAAACCCCATCTGTCACTCACCAGTAAAATAGAAGACATACAGTACTAGTACTGTATATTTGAAATATGTCTCATCAAACACAATATCATTGATATGTTACATACATCTGAATATATTATATGTATATTTATACACATATATTATATAAATAAAATCTAACACTTTGAATATAAGATATTGAAAATGTCTTAATATGTTAAGATAAATAAATAAATTATCAGTTATTAGTTAGTATTTTCAATACATTAGACAGTTATTGATAATATTTATGTATAAAAAAAGGTATCTCGACTTTAGTATTAATAATTTGTTTAAAAATGCAATATTGTTTTGTTTACTATTATGAATTAAATTTACTTTTTTATTTTCCTCGTATATATTGATTGATTCATTATTGAAGAGTTTTTTGTTAAATAAAATAAAATACATTTTGAATATTGTTGCTATTGTATGTATGGAGTTCATTGTACGACAAAATGTGCAAAATATAATTGATTAATAGATATCACAGGGGCTTCACATTTATCCATATATATTAAAAAAAACTTTGTACTGATTTATGCGCCATTAAGACCGGCAACTATCGGTTTAGTCAATAATTTGTTATAATTTATTCAACATTTCATTGCTTCCCTATTCATACAAAATTAATTTTTATATAACATAACAAATGTAAAAAATCAGTTTTATATAAAATATAATAATATAATATAAAATTTTTACAAATTATTTATAAATAAAAAAAAATTAATAAATTATATAAAAGGTATTTTTATGTAATTAAACAAAACTATATATATATTAATTGAAGTGATGACATATACTGTAAAACCAGAGATAACATACATCAGTCACATATGTTTTAAATAAAATATTCTGTAATAGATTTTGTCATTAAATATCACATTTTACTCATTCATACTAAGTCTAACAATGTTTTATAAAAACATTACTTTCTATTTTCATTTCCGTATTATAAAATTATTGTCAAAAACTGCTGAAAATGTTTGCAATATTAGTGATATTACCTCAAAATATTGAGTATATTATGAAAATAAAAAATATTCTAAAATATATGATTAACTGTAAAATGAAAAATTAATTATTAATTTTAGGTATTACCTATTTTTACATAATTGTGTGTCTATCACATTAACAACTATGTGAAATTTTGGAAATAATTTAAAATAATAAAAATGAACTTAAAAACACAGATACGCAATGCTAATGTACTGGTTTAGTAAAGTTGTTTGAAAAAATAGAGTTAAGATAATTGAAAAATAGATATTCAAAAACTTTATAACAAATTAATTTATTATGAATTGCAACTTTAGTATTATTCTTTATATATCTTAAGTATAAAAATAGTGCATTTGTGTACCAAATGATTCAAATCAAATATTTAAATATAAATATATATAGTATATATGCAATATTTATAATATTATATATAGTATGACAAACACTAAACTAAAACATAGTTTAAATGTATATTTTCTTAAGCTTCGCAACACATAAAGTGTTATATATTTATAATATATTTTGAAAGCGATGCCAAATCTTATGCTCGCTTTCATCGCAATCACCACTAAAATCGCGTGACTCTCTCTCTCTCTCTCTCTCTCTCTCTCTCTCTCTCTCTCTCTCTCTTAAAATGCTTTTCATACAAAGTGTGTTGACTTAAATTACGTAACATTTATTGTGTACCAGATTTTTGTTTTTAACAACTTTTAGGACGTATGGCTGTAATTTCACTTAAATAATAATGTGATGTAAATTAACAACACATTTTTAGACATTCACTTTAGATCTAATTTATATGTAAAACATGTATTTTTTAAAATTTGTTAAAAAGTAACAAAAACTGTGTAAATAACAACAAATAAAATAAAAATTAAATTAAAAAGCAAATTAAAATCTAATTTATTTTGACGCTTGTATTTTTGTACTTAATTTTTTTATTATAAATTTCAAATATTTCAATATTAACATATTTTTCAATTGTAACATGTTTATATACATTTTCTAGATTTTGCTAAAAAATTTTTAAAAAAGTATTTTAATAAAAAAGTTTATAATATATTTGTATAGTATAATATCATTAACTTATATTTTTTTATTATAATACAGTAAATAAATTGTGAATATTGTAAGAATATTTTTAAGCATAGAAAAATAAATTATAAATAATAGAATTTATATATAGTATAATAGTATAAAGTTTAGTTGTCTGGAGTTTGAATTGTTGATCAAATAAAAAATGTTGTGTTACTATAATATAAGGACTTTATTGTTATCACTTATTGAAAAATAAAATACTATTATATAATATATAGTATATAAGTATGAGGCCTGGCTTTTATAAACAGCACATTAGTTGCTGTACTGTAATATACAATATATATATATATATATATATATAGCTATATGTAATTTATATAATCAAAAAAGAAAAATGTTTTATAAATACTAATAAAAAGTCACAATTTCTCATAGAAAAAAGTTATTCTGTACTTATAATATATAAAACATATATTGAAGCGGCAGTTGAGCTCATGTGAAAATAATGTCATATATAACGCTATCAAATAAAAACTACAATAGCATTGAGTGAATCTCTCTCTCTCTCTCTCTCTCTCTCTCTCTCTATCTATCTATCTATCTATCTATCTATCTATCTATCTATCTATCTATCTATCTATCTATCTATCTATCTGTGTGTGTGTGTGTGTGTGTGTGTGTGTGTGTGTGTGTGTGTGTGTGTGTGTGTGTGTGTGATGGGGTGAATATATAAGAAAAAGTAATATTTAAAGAAGTGGTATTTAAAAATACAGTAGAGATAGTGTTATGTCGGTGACGGTGTACACAAATTGAGGTATGGGTCGGTAAGTAACTGAGTGCTCGTTGAGGAGAATAGTCGTGGGAAATGCTTAAATTCAATGCTCATGTTATAAAACAATTATATTCACATATAATAAATACATTGTATTTAAGGTAGACATAGTATGAAAGTCTTTAATATGATGTCTAGCATTATAACAGTTATATAACCTATTATATAATTTTTGATATTCACTGACCATAATATACTATGAGATTTCACTCACTCTAATAGCATATAATCAATAAAAGCGGCAAAATATCAAACTAATACAATAGTCAGATCTGAGTCTAAATATTGTTGTTGTTGTTGTTGTTTTTATAAATGCTATCTTTATAAATCAATTTTTATGATATACAAAATCACGAATCCTCGTGATATTTTAACTTTAATAATAATTACAAACATATTAAAAATATATTATATAATAATAATTATTATTAAAAATATACTTTGTTTTAACTAAAATTCATAAATTTTATGATAAAATGTTAGTTTTGATAATAAAGAATAATAAAAGCTAAATAATACTATATTCATAATAAATTATATGTATTTTAAAACCCTATTAATGATAATTAGTATCATATATTATTCCCAAATGGGACAGTCATTCAAAAATATTAGATTCAAAAATCTATTTTGTTTTTATAAGAAGGTTTCAGTGATTGACTATCGCACAGGGGGTTAGTAAAGGATCGGCACATTTTTTATCGTAAAACAGGGTTGAAGGTCAGCACAATTGGACACACCTATTGAATATTTACTATATGTCTACATTGTAACACATAATCTCTATGTTCGCAATCAGTATACCTAAAAATTTTGTTGGTTGTATTGGCTAATGTTTTGGTCACTCATACATATTTCTACCTCTAATTATCAGCTTCAGGCTATTGAAATTATATATTTTTTTTATAGATAATATATTTACTAAAAAAGTAAAATTTTTTATATTATATTATACTAAATATTTTTATGTTTGTAAACAGAGATTTGTGGGTATTATGTTATGAGAAGCTACTATATATAACAAGTAGATCCAAGTGAGAGCTTAGGACATACTATACATACACAACACTAGACTTGTATAGCAGTGGGTGTGTTGGGCCGAGAGTTGGGCTCTATTGTACTGATGACCGGTTCTTATAGTTATTTCCATAGCTTTCCACTCCTATGTGTCTGATATTGAATTGCATTTTATTGAGGGCTTCACTCACCCAATGGCTTCTCAATACAAATAAGTGAATGAATTTTTTGTATGATATAAACACTTATTTTTTAAATTAGTAAATAAATTATTTGCTTTTACATTATGTTTATTCATAAAAACATATAAAACATTGCTTTAAATTAAAGTTAAAAATATATTTTGTTTTGATATTTATTTGCATTTAATTTAGCCAAACCTTAGTACAGAGTTTTGCTTTCAATAATTATTGCTATTATAATAATAATAATTATTTATATATTATTATTGATTATAATAGTAATTATATAATTGTTTATAAAATTTAATAATAAAAATACACGACTTTCTAAAATTTAGTATAAGACCATAATTTATTTTATTAAAAATAGTTATACAAAAAAAAATTTTTGAAAATCTAGTTAATTATATAATTAGTTATTTTTACAAATAATAATTATTTAAATAAGAAATAAAGTTTAATAATAATTAATACCTTGAATAGTGTGCGTCCAAAGTGATGACCAAAGTATTGATGTGATTGTGAATATCAAACATAAATCCTTATGACATGACATCATATCCTCTTTCAATACAATGATAGATATATTACGATAAAATCACTGATTGGTTCACATTATATATCAAATTATTGTCAATAATTAGTGTCCAAAAAAAGTTTTGCCAAAAATTGCCGCCAAATTATTAGTTTCTCTAATATCAAGTCATATATACACAACTGTAATGTAGTTATTGTTACAGTGAGTGATAAACACCATTGAGAGAGAAAGCACTGCAAACTGTATTAGGAGTTGAGCTCATAATACAAACTGTATGTCAATTGACAAACTCTAAGACCCGGTATCTGACAGTCAGAGAGAGGGCAGTTGAGCACCGGTTGGTTTGCAACACAACAGTGCATGCGTTCAGTGATAAGTCTTTACAATCTTCACTTCGTTATGGTCTTCACTCACGGTTGGGATCGACATCTGTATGACTGCATCTGAATCATTGTAATGACTTACCCGACTGTCCATAAATTGATTCATTTATTCAACTAATAATTTTCTCATTGTTTTATTAAATAACATCACAATGTTTTCATGCATATAAAAAGTTAGATAAATATGTTAATTAATTATATATTTTGAAAAAAAGTTTAATTATTAATTTATTATTCAATTCAATTGAATTTATATTAATTATAATAAAAAGATTTGAGTTAAATATATCATAGTTAATAAAAACACTAAAAATCATTTTATAATGATTTAGATGAAAATAATATAATTGTTTATCTAAACTAATATTTAATTAATTGAATTAATATTATCATAGAATCATAAAATATAAATTATATGTATACAGATAGTTATTATACAGATATATAAACTAATAAATTACATATATATTACAATATAATTCAAATAAAAATCATTTTTATAAAAGATATAATCTTATAATGAATTTCAGTGAAATATTAATATAATAATTTAATTAAATATAGTAATAAAAATATCAATAGTTTTTACTAATAGTTTACACAAAAACTAATTTTGATATCGTTTAAACATTTAGTTTTTATTTCTAGTTGTTAGACATCAACAAAAAATAATAATAAATTGATATAACGGCAAACAAATTATAGACAATTGGGTGAAGCAATTAAATTGATTCAAATACAGTCATACAGATGTCAATCCGATCCATGAGTTCCAGTTAAGACCGTAAAGATATATCACTGAACGCATGCACTGTTATGTTGCAAACCAACCGGTGCTCAACTGCCCTCTCTCTGACTGTCAGATACCGGGTCTTAGAGTTTGTCAATTGACATACAATTTGTATTATGAGCTCAACTTCTAATACAGTTTGCAGTGCTATCTCTCTCAATGGTGTTATTCATTTACTCCAACAGTCAGTACTGTGTGTATCATTCATATATGACTTAATATTAGGAACTAATAATTTATTAGCAATTATATTAAAATTTTTATTTACATTACATAATGCAATGAATTAAAATACAATGTGAACTCTGCAATCAATATTCAATATTATCGATAGTATTGTATTGACTGTGTATATGATGTTATGTAATATGGATTTATGTTTGATATGCATAATCACATCAATACTTTGGTTATCACTTTGGACGCAAACAATTCAAGGTATTGTATTGTAATTTAATGTTTTTATTATATTTGCAATTGATTTATTGCTAATTGATTATAAATTTTTAGTAAATTTTAAAAATGTATTTCTAATATTATTTTTTAAATATATACAAATAAATGTTTAAAATATATTTAAAGTTTTATTTAAATAAGATTCTGATTATTTTATAAATATAAAGATAATAAACTTAATCAGTTATCAAAACTATGTAATACTATACAATTATTATTATTGTAAAATATATAATCATATTTGTTTATTAATTGATAATACAAAAATATCATTTGTTACAATATTATTATTATTATTATTATTATTATTATTATTATTATTATTGATTTATACAAAAATAAATAAATAATATTATAATGAAAAAATTATTTTTATTAGTTATATAATGTATTTTCGTTCTAAATGTAATTATCTATATATTTGTTGTATTGATATTCAATAGATTATTTTGAGTCATATGTACAGTCAATTGAATTGAATTACAACTATATTACAAAACATGACATCACAAGACAACATCACAAACGATGTTCACTATAACTAAACTGATTTATAGTCGTCTATATTCACTCTTTTTTTTTGTTGGTTACTCTCTATCGATAAGACAAATCATTGAATATATCTTACAATATCATTGCCATTGCAATCATCTTCTTTTCCTTTATTTTTTTCATTGCTTTTTGTGTTGACTTTATTTTTTCTGATACTCTTCTTCTCATTCTTGAGGCTTAATAAAAGCGAAAGCGAGAGGAGAGTGAGTTTGAGAGAGAGAGAGAGAGAGAGAGAGAGAGAGAGAGAGAGAGAGAGAGAGAGAGATTGTTTAAGTGATGTGAGGAAAGGGAGATACACATTGAGAACTATGCCTTTACCCAAAATGGTTTACACAAAGAAAAAAGTAAAATAACAGAAAAAAGTAGACAATATATACCATTAAATATCTATATATACGGCAAAATTTGTGATATTAGCTAATGTGTGAGTAGAGAATTGAAACAAATAGTCTACAGTAAGTATTGTGTAGAGAAAAAAGTAAAGTAAAATACAAACAGGAAGTTAAGTGAAACATTCAATGAAATAGTAGAGCAATGAAAAAATTGAGCACTAGTTTTATGAAATGAATGTCAAAAAATATAAGTTATATTATTATGAAATGCAAATTATTGAATTTTATGATAAATAAATTTATGCCAATAAATTTTAATCAATAAAATATAATGTTTTGCTTGTCATTTATAATACTATAGCATTAAAAATATAGAACTGTAATAAATCATTTGAATATTTTATAAATTTTGTTATAACATTTGCAAACATATAATTTATAGATATCTTTAAATAATCTTTTTTTATTATAGCATCAATAGTATATAATCTTATCTATTATATTACATTTAGTAAGTTTAGATATATATATATATATATATATATATATATATATATATTGAATATAAATGTATGATACCATTTTTCACATTTTAATATAAAATGACCTGTCTCCATTTGTCATATGACTTGAATTATCTGTACGTAACAAACTATACATTATCTTCAATACAAAGTGTAGTTATGGCATATTATATAAATTTTTGAATAAAAAATAACCCTAAAAGCATATCATATTATTTGCTGTCATTATTATTATACAATACTATTGCTATTATTACTATTCAATACAAGTTTTCATATAAATATATACTATATATAAAAGAGGATTAATATCTTTTCAGCAACTTTTGTCTTTATATTTTTTACATTTTTTTCTGTTATATTAAATTGTCTAAAAGATATTTTTCATTTTGAAATATATATTATTTAAAGCAACGGTTATATGAAATTACAAATCAAAATAAACTATTTATTTAAAATAAAATTTTTGAGAAAAAAAATAATACCACAAAAAAATAAAATTAGTGATTGAAAACATGTAAAAATTAATCTTATTTACATTTAAACTAATATTTTATAAGATTATTTTTTGTCTTTGATAAATTGTGCAAATTTTTGTTTATCTTAAATACAAAGTAAACCCAATATTAAAATTTTTAGCAAATATTTGTGCTTTCAATTGCAAATATAATTTTTTATAATAAATTGTGTGGTATATTAGTATTTCAATTGACTTTTGAATTTAAATATCTGCAAACTTATTAAACAATAAATTGTATATATTGTTTATAATATATTATTTTAGTCTTATATAATATATATTTATTTTTCTTCTTTACTGAGTATTATTCGCTTCTGAGAGAGAATTATTATTATTATTATTATTATTTCATTTTTAATAAATAGTTTTCGCATATATATAGTATATTCTGTGAGCATAAATAATGAGATTATGTGTTGAAAATGTAAAATTATATTATATAAATTATATATAGATATATATTTATTCAAGATATTTGCTTATTGAAGTATGTATAATGTTGTGAATTAATATAAAACTATTTATATATCATATAAAATACAATAATATAATCGCATATTATATATATATATATAAGTAGATATAAAGAAAACTAATTAAGCTGAAAAATATTATTAATAATAAGATATATTTTTAGAACATAAATATAATTTTGTTTGATGTTTATATATATTCTAAGATTTATTAATATATATTTATTCAAATTAATTTCAATTAAATAGATCTAAATATATGTTATATTTAGTTTATAAAAAATAATCAATTTATTTATCTTTTATTTTCTTTTCTTACTTTATCTATAGCTCTATTTTTATCTCAAATAATTTTATAGTATTATAGATAAAGAGATATAAAAAGCTAATAGATTTGAATAAATTTAATTAATCAAACCATTGATTAATGAGGAAAGTTGTCGTTGATTTGAATCTCACTCTTATTTTTCTCACTTTTCCTAATTAATGCTTACAATTGGTGTATCATTGAGTCAAAGGACCGACAAATAATGATAATAATGAATGCCTTAATGTTTGTATTTATTTATTGCATTGCATTGTTGTATATTTGATATAATATGTATTGTTGTATAAAGTTTTTGTTTGCTGTGTGAGAGATTTTAATTCAATTTAATACGTGAATGCAATTGTTGTGTAGTTTTTCTCACTCAATATATTGTATGCTTAATGTGTGTATAAAAAGCAAATGCAAAATAATGAGAGTCTGGATTGCATTATATTTGTGATGTTGTTGTTTAATATCAGGGACTCTGACTAATAAAAAATACAACACACTTTATATGATGTAGTTGTTGTTATTGTTGTTTTTGCTGTAAATTTAGTGTTTATATAATTTTTGAGCAAATATAACGTTAAAGCTAATAAAACAAAAATTATTTTACTATATCTTGTTGTATTGTTTTGATAGCAAACCTTAACTAATACAATAAGTATACTTATATAAAGACTCAATATATTATAAACTGTATTATACGAAAACATACAATTAACCAGAATATGCATATAATATAAACTTACTATATATTGGGTATAAAATACATTATATAATAAACAATGTATTGGTATATATAGTATTATAGTGACGGGTTTGGTGTAATGGTGGTCGTGTAGTAAAGCCTTATCGATTAGACATGCAAACTGTGCCTTTTAATAGCTAACACACACACTATATATATATATAAGTTATATATATTATTGATGCTAACGGTGCTTTTATTACGGGTAGAGACTATTTTGGCACATATTCTGGCATTTTTTCACTATAAGTTATAGCCAATAACAATAGGTATTCAATAATAATGACTATATGTATGAATACTTGTGAAAAGTGGATGTCTTTTCAATGTCTGTATTAAAGATATCTCTCACTTTCTCTTTTTATATATAATCTCTCATAACATAGTATTATGGCTTAACTTAGGAAAAACACATTGAATTTGTAGCGAAACTAACATTTATAATAAAGATTAGTTGAGAGTCTTAAAGAAACTTTAGTTTTAGGGTTTTTTTCGGTGAAACTTAAGATTAAGTTTTTTTTATTTCGGTTGCTTTTGTTTTAAACTATACGATGAATATCTTGATAAGTATTATTTTGGTTTATAGTTTGGCTAATAAAATAACATTTATGTGGATCATAATCAATACACATGACTTAACACAATAAACACAAACAATTTATTTTTTAGATAGTATTAATTCTCATGTAAACAATTGATTAATTAAAATTTATTCTAAAAACTAATAGATTTTTTTAATTTTTTTACCTGTTTTCTTAATAATACTAACTTTTTAAAAGATATTTTTAAATAATAAAATATATTAACAATAAATTTACATATTATTTTATTAGTTTCATTTGTTTTGTTAGTAAAATATATTTTTAACTTAAACAAATAAGATAATTTTTATGTGAATTGCATTTATTAAAAATTTACTTTATATTTATTATATATATATATAAACTGATTATTATCGTTATACAGTATATATATATATATATATATTTACACCATTAATTTACAGTATACAGTATTTTATTGTATTAAAGTAATAAATGAATATTAAAATAATATTTTTAAATAAAGGTTTTTATGGAAAAACATTTAAGAATTTTAATGAAAATATTTCTAATTTTGACGCTATTTTAATGAATACATTAATGTTATTTACTGTAAATTCATAAATATATAAAATACATGATTTAATCTTAAAACTTATTATCTATTAAAACGATGTGTGTTTGAAGTATTTAAAAATATAAATAACTTTATACTAAAAACCCTCTGAGAATATATAAATATTAATAAAATGAATCATATCTTTAGTATTGAAATTATTTACTTTGAATTTTGATGACAATTCAAAAAAAAAAATTCAAACCGTATAACATCTAATTCCTTATATAAAATAGTTAGATTTGTGTTTATGTATGTATGTGTGTGTATGTGTAGTAATTTTAATATTTGCTTTTTAAAACTAAAATGTCATGCGATGTGAATATATTTTTAACTATGATATACGATCTATTGTATAAAGTAAT